AAAGAAAAAAAGTGTAGAGAAAAATATGAATGAAAAAATGACCTGAAGTGGTATAAATGATATTCAGTTAAAGAATTCCTAAAAAACATACGTGGCTAGGGGCCGGGAAGATGGCTCCGTAGAATAAACGCTTCCCTGGCAAGCGCTAGGGCCTGAATTCAATCCCTGGTTGGGGGGGTGGGGGGGGGAATATGTGGCTAAAGAAAGCTGAAAGTTCCCAGGCAACCCTAGGGAATACTATGGGCTTTGTAGAATATATCAAGGAGACACTGATACAAGAGGCCATGATGAGCACGTGTAGTAGATTGACAGCTAGTGGTCAGCCTGGAACACCCAGCTGAACCGAGCATGGTGCTGGGTGTGGAGGGCTCACATGAGGATTGTTGCTGACAACCTAAAAAGAGGACTGGAGGGGAAGAGGGTGCACTGTTGATTCCCGTTGATTCTCCTGGGGAAGGTTGTCACGCTGGTTTTCCTGATGTGACTTGGCTCTTTTCCTTGCAGGAGAAGCTTGGGTCTTGGCTGATGATGGCTGTGGTTCTTTTCAGGGGAGCTCTGGTCCTTATCTTGAATGTTGCTTCCTGGCTTCAGTGCAGATCCCTCAGCCTGCTGCCACAGATCCTCCATCCCTGCTGCAGACTTTCTAGCTTCCACCACTGACCTCTGGGCCTTCCCAGCACAGATCCTTGAAACAGGTTTGCATGAGACATTGTCTTGAGCTCTAGGCGTCCAGCTGGACTCATGGAGGGCAGTGCCACAGGCTCTAGATCTTCAGCTGGACTTGCGCAGATTATTGCTGTGGGATCCATGCCCTCAGCTAGATTCTTTGGGTCTCTAGCATGTAGACAGATCTCTCACATTCTCTTGCTTTTTCATTTGACTCTTTTGGTGAATACTATAAAATAATCCTATAAATTATGTGTCTTGTATTTAATCTTTTCCCTTGGAATCCCTGACTACAACAGCATCTGTAAAGAAATACCTATCTTCCAAAGGGGGAGCAATTTGCTAAAACAGCTGTAGGCAGAGATTTCTCACCTGGTTGATTGTTTCATTCATTATAGCATAAACCAGGCAACCTCCAACTAGAGCAAAAAATAAAAGAGGGAAGTATGAATGCTACTTTGTTTCCTTTTTGGCTGTGTTAGATTTCAAACCTTGTATATATGTGTTCCAAAAAAATGTTCCCATTTTAAAGATATCTTCATTTATTCCAAATATGCTTTAAAATATTTATTGAGCAGAAAGAAAGAAAAGGAGTTAAAAGATGAAACACATTGAACGAACAGTTCTCTTCCAAGTTCTGGTGGACTTCGAAACGTTAATTGTCTGTTCAAAAGAAACATGCTCTGTTAAAAAGATATCCATTTTAAACATATCTTTCTTTATTCCGAATGCTCACTTATTGCAGATATATCAAGATTTTTTCTGGGGGTTACGGGGAATGGAACTCAGGACCTCATACTTGCAGACAAGCGCAGAGCCACTGAGCTAAATTCCCAGCCCCAAGATGTGTTTTTAAAAATGTTGTAGCTAATCATAAGGATACAATTTAAAAACAGTAAGATCAATATAATTGATTACACTTATTAATCAGGTTGAAATAAATCATTTCACCATAAATATGCTTACTGAATTATA